AAGAGGTGGTCCGGCCCGTTTCGCCTGAGACATCCTCGCAACTCTGAGCTGAGATGCCCTGCGCGAGGTGGTCCGGCCCATCTCGCCTGAGACATCCTCGCAACTCTGAGCTCTGAGAACCGTTGCGCGAAGGTGGTCCGGCCCGTTTCGCAGAGACATTCTTCGAACTCTGAGCTTCCCAGATGCCGCGCAAAGAGGTGGTCCAGCCGGGCGCGAACGTAGCGACAGCCCAGAAAGAACACGCACAAGACCACATGTTACAGATCCCCCTTGGGACCCTGGGAGCCCCAGGAGGCCCCAGAGAGCTTCAAGAGGCCGCAGGACGCCAGGACAGGCCCCAGGGGTCCGCAGGAGATTCCCAGGAGGCTCCCAGGAGGCCCCAGGAGGCCCCCTATCAGAACGTGTCAAGTTAATACACATCCGGTGTCGATTCGTTGATTTTTCCTGCTCTTGTGGCCCCCCCCCATTTTGGTGGCCTCTGCTCTTTCCTCTCCCTCTCTCTCCCCTCGCTTCTCCTCTCTTCGCTTCCTTCTCCTCTCCCGCGGTGCCCCGACCGGCCCCATGTAGATACCCCCCCTGGGGCCCCAAGACGGCTTCAGGAAGCCCCACGACGGAGATCAAGGTAGGCCACCGGGAGGGAGCACGAGAAGGGTCCCCAGGAGGCCAAGGAGTGCCCCAGGATAGGCACCCCCGCAACTCGGAGCTGGGAGAGCCGCGCTCGAGGTGGGTCCGGCCCGTTTCGCCTGAGACTTCTGCAGCCACGTTGCAAGACGACATCGTGCAACTCTGGGGTCCGAGATGCCGCCGCGCGAGGGGTCCAGCCCGTTACGCTGAGACATTCCTCGCAACTTGGGATCCGAGATGCCCGGCGCGGAGCGTGGGGGGGGGGGTTTTTCCCGGCCCGTCTCGCCTGAGACATCCTCGCAACTCTGAGCTCTGAGATGCCGTGCGCTAGGTGGTCCGGCCCGTTTCGCATGAGACATTCTCGCAACTCTGACTGAGCTCCCAGATGCAGCGCAAGAGGTGGTCCAGCCTGGGGGCCCAGAAGGCCACATGTTACACATCCCCCCTGGGAGCCCCAGGAGGCCCCAGAGAGCTTCAGGAGGCCGCAAGACGCCCAGGACAGGCCCCAGCCCCAGGGGTCCCCAGGAGATTCCCAGGAGGCTCCCAGGAGGCCCCAGGAGGCCCCCTATCAGCATGTATCAAGTTAATACACATCCGGTGCCGATTCGTTGAGTTTTCCTGCTCTTGTGGCCCCCCCCATTTTGGGGGGCCCCGACGGCCACATGTTAGATATCCCCCCCTGGGAGCCCCAAGAGGCTTCAGGAAGCCCCAGGTGGGGTCCAGGAAGCCACAGGAGGCCCCCGCAACTCGGAGCTCTGAGACGCCGCGCTCGTGGCGGTCTGGGCCGTTTCGCCTCAGACTTCCTTGCAGCACGTTTCGCCCGAGACATCGTCGCAACTCTGGGGTCCGAGATGCCGCGCGCGAGATGATCCAGCCCGTTACGCTGGAGACATCCTCGCAACTCTGGGCTCCGAGATGCCGTTCGGGATGAAGAGGAGGTGGGGGAGGACGAGGACGAGGAGGAGGAGGCATGTTCTAACGTGCCATGCTAGCCCGCACTGGACGGGCGCGCAATCGACCTTGGAAACCGCAGTGGGTTTAAAAACCCTGTTTGGGGATACTGCATTCCGGCTCTAATTCCCATTATTTTCTGGGTTTTCGTCTTCCCCCCACTTCCCATATGTTCCCATATTTTCCTGGAAGTCGACGATTAAGTCTGCCTGTGTGTTCCTTTCCCTCCTGAGACAACTATGCCTATGTGCTCGGCCATGGCTAGGGTCTGGGGCAGGATCCCTGGGACCACGCCTCGAAGAAAAGCAACAGGGTTATCGCCTACATCTGGGCAAACACCGATGGACTAGCCCGCCCTCTCCAGCGGCCTGAGGTGAGGCTTGCTGCCGAGCCATCCGAGGCCAGCCTGAAGGGGGAGCTGCTGGTCAAACTGGCTGTCTGCTCTGGGTCCCGATCGATCGTCTTTCCATCCCTGTCCAGAACGTCGACCTCAGTAGAGGCCGACGGGCTAGGCAGGTCTGTGCATGTAGGTTGACGACCGAATAGTCGAACCTACAAGGTTTGCCGTAGGTAAAAGCAAGGAGGAGGGTAGCGATCCCGTTTCCCATGCGCCGCGGGCAGGTGGCGCTGTACCTATTACAAGTACCTGAGCCGAGACTGCACCAGGAAATATGGATATAATGGTGATATGAGTGGACTTCGCACACACAGATTCCAGGCAAACGAGAACTCCCGTGGTGAGAACAGTGGTTTCAGGCTGCACGCGCGGCCTGCAAAAAATTCGGGTGGGACTCCAGCAGCGCCCCTCACTTCTACTACTCTTAGGTCGGGCCTGCCCCCTACAGAGGGATTTTGGACGAAAAATAAGAAATAGTCACACACACACACACACACACACTCCCCCCCCCAAAAAAAAACATACTAAAATAATCGTCCCCAGACTATTTCTGGACTACTTTTGAGTTTTCCTCCTGAAGAGGGACAGGCCAGACCTAATTATACTACTGGCGCAAGCTGGCAGCCACATAACCTGTGGTGGATCGTGTATCGTTCGCCACACTCACACACACACACACACTCTCACACAAACACACGCACACACACACACACACGCCGTCACACAAGTACCCGCCCTCTCGGCTCGATCTTTGGTTCACAATCCTAGGCAGCTGCAGCACTTGATTGGGTACTCCTGGAAACGATTCAAACCCCTTGCCTTTCGGGGCTGCAGCGCTCCTACCTGAATCAAAAGACGCCCTGGAGCCTGGGGGACACCGAGGGAGGCAGGATGCCTACAGCGCCCGCACGAAGGTCCGCGCGAGGGGACGAAGCGGGGCGGGGGGGGGGAGAGGAGGAGGAGGAGGAGGAGGAGGAGGAGGAGGAGGAGGAGGAGGAGGAAGAGGAGGAGGAGGAGGAGGAGGAGGAGACGGCGTGCACGGAGAATGCCGATGTCGAGCAGGGGAGGGGGTGCCAGCTGTCGAGAAGTAGGGGCGCCCCGAGAGGCAGGGCGGGGCGCCGAGGGAGGCAGTGCAGGGCGCCGGGAGGGCGGGAGGCCCGGGTCACTTGGCACCGAGTCGGCAGATCGGCACGGGATCGAAATGCGCATCGGATCGGCTGCGCCTCCTCCGCCTCCTCCTCCGCCTCCGCCTCCGCCTCCGCCTCCGCCTCCGCCTCCGCCTCCTCCTCCTCCTCATCCTCCTCCTCCTCCGCCTCCTCCTCCTCCTCCTCCTCCGCCTCCTCCGCCTCCGCCTCCGCCTCCGCCTCTCGGGCCGCATCGAATCGTCGGGACATCAGGGTATCGAATAGGACCGGGCCGGCAGGGATCGGCTAGGAACGGAGTGGGCCCTGGAGGAGCGACGGCGACGACGACTGCGACGACGACGACGACGACGACGACGACGACGGCGGGCGACGACGGCGACGACGACGGGCGACGACGACGGGCGACGACGGCGACGACGGGCGACGACGGGCGACGACGACGACGACGACGACGACGAGACCGTCAGCGAGGTCTGCACGGGCAGGGCGTCGAGCGAGGGCGCGGACGGGGCCGTGGAGCAACCCAGCGTCCGCCGCGGCATGTCCTGGGGGAAGCCCGCCACGGGCGGAGGCGGCTCCGCGGCGATCTCCGCCGCGTGGGCGAGCAGCCGCCTGCTGGGGGCTCGGGCGGCGTCGTCGTCGCCGTCGTCGTCCGTCGTTCGTCGTCGTCGTCGTCCGTCGTTCGTCGTCGTCGTCGTCGTCGTCGTCGTCGTCGTCGTCGTCGTCGTCGTCGTCGTCGTCGTCGTCGTCCGTAGTCGTCCGTCGACGTCGTTGTCATCGTCCGTCGTCGTTGTCGTCGTCGTTCATCGCCGTCGTCGTCATCGTCCATCGTCGTCGTCGTCGTCGTCCGTCGCCGTCGTCCGTCATCGTCGTCGTCGTCGTCGTCGTTCGTCTTCATCGTCCGCCGTCGTCGTCATCGTCGTCGTCGTGGTCGCCTGCTGGGGCCTCGGGAAGTCGTCATCGTTGTCCGTCGTCGTCGTCGTCGTCGTCGTCGTCCGCCGTCGTCGTCGTCGTCGTCGTCGTCGTCGTAATCGTCCATCGTCGTCGTCATCGTCGGCGTCGTCGCCGATGGTCGTCGTCGCCGTCGTCGTCCGTCGTCCGCCGTCGTCGTCGTCGTTCGTCGTCGTCGTCCGTCGTCGTCGTCGTCGTCGTCGTCGTCCGTCGTCGTCGTCGTCCGTCGTCGTCACGGTCGTCCGTCGTCGTCGTCCTCGTTCGTCTCGTCGTCCGTCGTCGTCCGGGGGGGGGGTCGTCGTCGTTCGACGTCTCGTCGTCATCGTCGTCGTCGTCGTCGTCGTCGTCCGTCGTCCCTCGTCGTCGTCATCGTCGTCATCGTGGTCCGTCGACGTCGTCGTCGTCGTCGTCCGTCGTCGTCGTCGACGTTCATCGTCGTCGTCGTCGTCGTCCGTCGTCGTCGTCGTTGTCGTAGCCGTCGTCGTCGTCGTCGTCGTCGTCCGTCGTCGTCCGTCGTCGTTCATCGTCGTCGTCGTCCGCCGTCGTCGTCGTCGTCGTCGTCGTCGTCGTCGCCTGCTGGGGCTCGGGCGGCGTCGTCGTCCGTCGTCGTCCGTCGACGTCGTCGTCGTCCGACGTAGTTGTCGTCGTCGTTCATCGTCGTCCTCATCGTCCGCCGTCGCGCGTCGCGTCGTCGTGTCGTCGCCCGTCGTCGGTCGTCGGTCGTCGTGTCAGCGGCGTCGTCGTCGTCGTTCGTCGTTCGTTCGTCGTCGTTTCATCGTTTCGTCGTAGTCGTCGCTGCTGGAGGCTCGGGCGCGTCGCATCGTTGTCCGTCGGTCGTCGTCGTTGTCCGTCGGTCGTCGCGCACGTCGTCGTCGTCGGGAAATGTCCGTCGTCGTCGTCGTCGTCTTCGCCGGTTCGTCGTCGTCGTCGTCGTCCGTCGTTCCACCGTCGTCGTCTCGTTCGTCGTCGTCGTCGTCGTCGTCGTCGTCGTCGTCCGTCGTCGTCGTCGCCGTCCTCGTCGTCATCGTGGTCCGTCGTCGTCGTCGTCGTCCCTCGTCGCGGGTCGTTCGTCGTCGTCCATCGTGTTCGGTCCACGTTCGTTCGTCGTCGTCCACCGGTCGTCGTCCGGTCCTCCATATCGTCGTCGTCGTCCGTCCGTCGTCGTCGTTGTCGTCGCCGTCATCGTCGTCGTCGTCGTCCGTCGTCGTCCGTCGTCGTCGTCGTCGTCCGCCGTCGTCGTCGTCGTCGCCTGCTGGGGGCTCGGGCGGCGTCGTCGTCGTCGTCGTCGTCGTCGTCCGTCGTTCGTCGTCGTCGTCGTCCGTCGTTCGTCGTCGTCGTCGTCCGTAGTCGTCCGTCGACATTGTCGTCGTCGTCCGTCATCGTTGTCGTCGTCGTTCATCGTCGTCGCCGTCATCGTCCATCGTCGTCGTCGTCGTTGTCGCCGTCCGCCGTCGTCGTCGTCGTCGTCGTTCGTCTTCGTCGTCCGCCGTCGTCGTCATCGTCGTCGTCGTCGTCGCCTGCTGGGGGCTCGGGAAGTCGTCATCGTTGTCCGTCGTCGTCGTCGTCGTCGTCGTCGTCCGTCGTCGTCGTCGCCGCCGTCGTCGTCGTCGTCGTAATCGTCCATCGTCGTCGTCGTCGTCGTCGTCGTCGCCCGTCGTCGTCCTCGCCGTCGTCGTCCGTCGTCCGCCGTCGTCGTCATCGTTCGTCGTCGTCGTCCGCCGTCGTCGTCGTCGTCGTCGTCCGTCGTCGTCGTCGTCCGTCGTCGCCGTCGTCCGTCGTCGTCGTCGTCGCCCCTCGTCGTCATCGTCGTCCGTCGTCGTCCGTCGACGTCGTCGTCGTCGTCGTCCGTCGTCGTCGCCGTCGTCGTTCATCGTCGTCGTCGTCCCTCGTCGTCGTCATCGTCGTCATCGTGGTCCGTCGACGTCGTCGTCGTCCGTCGTCGTCGTCGACGTTCATCGTCGTCGTCGTCGTCCGTCGTCGTCGTCGTTGTCGTCGCCGCCGTCGTCGTCATCGTGGACCGTCGTCGTCATCGTCGTTTGTCGTCATCGTCGTCCGCCGTTGTCGTCGTCGTCGTCGTCGCCTGCTGGGGCTCGGGCGGCGTCGTCGTTCGTCGTTGTCCGTCGTCGTCGTCGTCGTCCGACGTCGTTGTCGTCGTCGTTCATCGTCGTCCTCATCGTCCGCCGTCGTCGTTGTCGTCGTCGTCGTCGCCCGTCGTCGTCGTCGTCAACGGCATCCGTCGTCGTCGTCGTTCGTCGTCGTCGTCCGCCGTCGTCGTCGTCGTCGTCGCCTGCTGGGGGCTCGGGCGGCGTCGTCATCGTTGTCCGTCGTCGTCGTCGTCGTCCGTCGTCGTCGTCGCCGTCGTCGTCGTCGTAATTGTCCGTCGTCGTCATCGTCGTCGTCGTCGCCCGTCGTCGTCGTCGTCGTCGTCGTCGTCCGTCGTCCACCGTCGTCGTCGTCGTTCGTCGTCGTCGTCGTCGTCCGTCGTCGTCGGCGTCGTCCGTCGTCGTCGTCGTCCGACCTCGTCGTCATCGTGGTCCGTCGTCGACGTCGTCGTCCCTCGTCGTCATCGTGGTCCGTCGTCGTCGTCGTCGTCCATCGTCGTCCGTCCACGTCGTCGTCGTCGTCCGCGGTCGTCGTCCGTCGTTCATCGTCGTCGTCGTCGTCCGTCTGCGTCGTCGTTGTCGTCGCCGTCATCGCCGTCGTCGTCCGTCGTCGTCCGTCGTCGTCGTCGTCGTCCGCCGTCGTCGTCGGCGTCGCCTGCTGGGGGCTCGGGCGGCGCCGTCGTCGTCGTCGTCGGCGTCCGTCGTCGTCGTCGTTCCTCGTCGTCGTCCGCCGTCATCGTCGTCGACGTCGTCGTCGTCGCCTGCTGGGGGCTCGGGCGGCGTCGTCATCGTTGTCCGTCGTCGTCGTCGTCGTCGTCGTCCGTCGTCGTCGTTGTCGTCGTCGTCGTCGTCGTCGGCGTCCGTCGTCGTCGTCGTCGTCGTCGTCGTCGTCGTCGTCGTCCGTCGTCGTCGTCGCCGTCGTCGTCCGTGGTCGTTCGTCGTCGTCGTCGTTCGTCGTCGTCGTTTGTCGTCGTCGTCGTCGTCCGTCGTCGTCGACGTCCGTCGTCGTCGTCATCATCGTCGTCCGTCGTCGTCGTCGTCGTCACTCGTCGTCATCGTGGTCCGTCGTCGTCGTCGTCGTCGTCGTCGTCCATCGTCGTCCGTCGTCGTCGTCGTCCGTCGTCGTCGTCGTCGTTCATCGTCGTCGTCGTCATTCGTCCTCGTCGTCGTTGTCGTCGCCGTCGTCGTCGTCGTCGTCGTCGTCCGTCGTCGTCCGGGTCGTTCGTGTCGTCGTCCGCGTTCGTCGTCGTCGTCGTCGACGCCTGCTGGGGGCTCGGGCGGCGTCTTCGTCCGTCGTCGTCCGTCGACGTCGTCGTCGATAGCGTCTTCGTCTTGGCGTCGTCGTTCATCGGTCGTCCGTTCGCATCGTCCGTCGTCGTCGTCGTCGTTGTCGTCGTCGTCGTCGTCGTCGTCGGCGTCCGTCGTCGTCTTCGTTCGTCGTCGTCGTCCGCCGTCGTCGTCGTCGTCGTCATCGTCGTCGTCGCCTGCTGGGGGCTCGGGTGGCGTCGTCGTTGTCGTCCGTCGTCGTCGTCGTCGTCGTCGTCGTCGTCGTCCGTCGTCGTCGTCGTCGTCGTCGTCCGTCGTCGTCGTCGCCGTCGTCGTCGTCCGTCGTCCTAATCGTCCGTCGTCGTCGTCGTCGTCGTCGTCGTCGTCGTCGGTCGGCGTCGTCGTCGTCGTCGTCCGCACGTCAGTCGTCGTCGTCGTTCGTCGTCGTCGTCGTCGTCGCTGTCGTCCGTCGTCGTCGTCGTCCGTCGTCGGTCGTCGTCCGTCGTCATCGTCGTCGTCCATCGTCGTCATCGTCGTCCGTCCTCGTCGCCGTCGTCGGCCATCGTCGTCCGTCGACGTTGTCGTCGTCGTCCGCGGTCGTCGTCGTCGTTCATCGTCGTCGTCGTCGTCCGTCGTCGTCGTCGTTGTCGTCGTCGCCGTCGTCGTCGTCGTCGTCGTCGTCGTCCGTCGTCGTCCGTCGTCGTTCGTGGTCGTCGTGCGCCGTCGTCGTCGTCGTCGTCGTCGCCTGCTGGGGGCTCGGGCAGCGTCGTCGTCGTCGTCCGTCGTCGTCGTCGTCGTCGTCGTCCGTCGTCGTCGTCGCCGTCGTCGTCGTCGTCGTAATCGTCCGTCGTCGTCGTTCGTCGTCGTCGTCGTCCGTCGTCGTCGTCGTCGTCCGTCGTCGTCATCATGGTCCGCCGTCGTCGTCGTCGTCGTCGTCGTCGTTCGTCGTCGTCGTCCGTCGTCGTCATCGTCGTCGTCGGTCGTCGTCGTCGTCCGTCGTCGTCGTCGTCGTCTGTCCTCGTCGCCATCGTGGTCCGTCGTCGTCGTCGTCGTCCGTCGTCGTCCGTCGTCGTCGTCGCCATCCGACATAATCGTAGTCGTCGGTCGTCGTCGTCGTCGTCGTCGTCCGTCGTCGTCCGTCGTCGTCGTCGTCGTCGTCGTCGTCGTCGTCGGTCGTCGTCGTCGTCATCGTTCGTCGTCGTCGTCCGCCGTCGTCGTCGTCGTCGTCGTCGTCGCCTGCTGGGTGTTCGGGCGGCGTCGTCGTCGACGTCCCTCGTCGTCGTCGTCGTTGTT